GAGAGAGGGGGAGGGTGGGTGAGTGTTTTTTTTTTTTTTTTTTTTTTTTCCCTATTAGTCATCCTTGCGCAGGGGCCATGCTAATCTTCTCTGTGGGGGCAAGCGTGAAGATAGAGTACAACTTTAACAGATGTCCTAGACATCTGTTAAAGTTGTACTCTATCTTCACGCTTGCCCCCATAATACCCCCCCCCCCCCAAAAAGAAAAAAAACGCCTCTACGGTGAGTCGGTGACGTTTGTGGATAAAACAAGATTGAATGAGTGTAGGAATCTTTTTAGATTCTCTTTTGGGGAAATTATTGTGGATAGCTGATTACTATTCCCTTTTCCACCGAACAAAACACACCCTTATCACAAATGTATATTAGCTATCTCCGACACCTTTTTTTTTTTTTTTTTTTTTCCGTCGGCCTTCTGGCTAAGGGTAGCTCAACTGTTTTTTTTTTTTTTTTTTTTTAAGTAGCTCAACTGTAGTACTATCTGCTCTGATGACTTTCATATCTGCTGCGTGGTCGATCGAATGAAGAAAACGAAACGCCTACCTCAGTTGTTACACCAATGAGTGAATGACCTGTTGAAATACAGACCTGAGTTCGAATCCAGAAAAATCGAAATACAAAGAAGAAACGGAGCAGAAGATTTCTTTTTGTCTTTTTTTCTTTTCTTGCTCAGGGGCCATGCTCATCTTCTCTGTATCTTTCCACTTTTAACGGATGTCCCGAAGGACGAGCATAATATTTCAGCTCTGTTCTAAAAGCCTCGTCCTGAGGGCGCGCTGTGTTTGGGGGAAACATCACAAGTCTACTGTAGAGTTGCTTGCGTAGATTGTGTACTAGCGAGCCCCAAACGTGCAAGCGGGCCCTCTCACTTTGTCCTCTTATTCCTTGTCCTCCTTTTCCCCCTCTCCTCCTGCTCATCTCAGACCTGATCCTGCTCATCCGGACCCTATTGTGTGTTCCTACAACGACCGATGGATTGAACGTGTGTGACATCTGTCGTGTGACGCTCATGTCGTTTGACAATCTGTGTTGTACGATCACCGCTGGGTGACACATTCTCCACGCAGAGGAAACTGATGGCCAGACCCTTTCCTCCTCCTCCTCCTCCTCCTCCTACTACTACTACTACTACTACTACTACTACTGCTACTACTACTACTACTACTACTACTACTGATACTACTGCCACCACTACGAGACGTCCTCCTGCTCCTCCATTTCTTCTATCCTCTTCTTCCTCCTCCTCCTCCATTTCTTCTTCTTCTTCTTCTTCTTCTTCTTCTTCTTCTTCTTCTTCTTCTTCTCCTACTACTACTACTACTACTACTACTACTACTACTACTACTACTACTGCCGCCTCGAGTCCTCCCACTTCCTCGACTTATTCCTTGTCGACGTTCACTTTCGCTTTCTTACTGCACCCCCTCCTCCTATTCATTCTGCTCCTCTGACCGCTCTTGTTCCGCCGGGAACGATAGCGATAGATTGTCGGACCTGTGTGACATCTGTCGTACCTGTGTGACATCTGTCGTCTGATCCTTTCGTCGTTTGACAATCTGTGGTGTATGATCACCGCTGGGTGACAGATTCGTTACCCGGAGGCAACTTATGGCCAGACCCTCCTCCGCCAGACCCTCCTCCTCCTCCTCCTCCTCCTCCTCCTCCTTCTTCGCTGCCATGTTTTTTTTTTTCCCTCTTCCGCCTCTTCCCGTTCCGTCGGCTTATTGCACCCCCTCGGGGCCCCCCTCCTCTTGATGCTGCTCCTCCGACCCGTCGTGTTCTTGAACGATAGATTGTCAAACCTGTGTGACATCCGTCGTCTGATGCTTTTGTCGTTTGCCAATCTGTGGTGTATGATCACCGCTGGGTGACAGATTCGTCCCGCAGAGCAAACTTATGGCCAGACCCGTTACTTCATCTTCTTCTCCTTCTTCTTGAACGCCTTCTTTGTATTCTGTTTCTTCCCCCTCCCGACGCTTCATCCTGTTATGCCTGCCAGTGGTGGTCCCCCTCTTTCCTAGAGTTGATAGACGGCAGCTTGTCAAACGACAAAAGGATCAGACGACAGATGGATGTCGCACAGGTACGACAGAAAAACGATGGATTGTCGAACCTGTGTGACATCTGTCATAACTGTGTGACATCCATCTGTCGTCTGATCCTTGTGTCGTTTGACAAGCTGCGGTCTATCACCGCTGGGTGAAAAATTCGCCACTCATTGGAAACCATGGCCAGTACCTTTACTTCTTCTTCGTTTTTTTAAAAAGAAAAACCAGTCCGGCTGCTAGGGAGGGTGATACGAGCACCCCCCCTTAGCCGCTTCCTGGATGCTTCTTTCTCTTCTTCTTCTTCTTCTTCTTCTTTTTTCCGCTCCGTCGTCCTCATATTCCTTTTCCTCCTCTGGATCCTGCTCCTCCCACCGCTAGATTGTGTTCCTAAACGATAGATTGTCTATCCTGTGCGGCATCTGTCTTCACCTGTGGCACATCTGTCTAACCTGTGCGACATCTGGCATCTGGTACTTATGCTGTTTGTACGACAATCTGTGGTCTATCACAGCTGGGTGACAGAGGAACTTGAGGCCAGACCCTTTTCTTCTTCTTCTCCTCCTCCTCCTCCTCCTCCTCCTCCTCCTCCTTCACAGCTGTGTCTATCCTGTGCGGCTATGTCATGATTATTGGTTATCAGTGTCGTCACCTGGTACGGGGACGGCCCGTCCGTACTCCCGTACTACCGTACGTACGGGCCCTCAGCCCCCGTACGGCCCGTGCGTACGGACCTCGGGCCCTCCATACGTGGCCTTCCCGGAGGGGGTTGAGGGGGTGGATGGGCTGGGGAGCGGTCGGGTCCGGGTGTAGAAAAAGAAAGAAAAAAGATTGATTGATTGATTGATTGATGGTAAAATACAAAAAAAGAAAACGAAAAAAAAAGAAAATCAAAATCCATGCAAAAGAGTGATGGGTTGATTGATTGATTGATTGATTGATTAATTGATTGATTGATATGCTGTGCGGGTGTCGCCTCCCCCCTGCGAATACACACACACACACACACACACACACACACACACACACACACACACACACACACACGGGCGCTAAAACAAGTGTGGCAGTGTATATTTCCATGTTCTATTCTATGGATGGAAGTAGGATGAGGCGAGCTGTGAGGTTGGAGACTTACCTGTTCTCTCTCTCTCTCACACTCACACACACACACACACACACACACACAAACAAAAACAAGTGTGGCAGTGCATATTTCCATGTTCTAGACTCTAGAGGTAGCAGATATTTTTCTTACTTTTTTTCTTAAATACCAAGGGCGCCCTTGAGACCCCCCCTACCATCCCTGGGGGTCAAAACCCCCCCGTCACCCCCCCACCGGGCCCTGGCACGTTCGAACGGAGACTGTCCATACGCCTGTACGTCTGTTCATCCATCCGTACGCGTGGGCCGTATGGAGACCTCCCGTACGACGTACGGGGGACTGCACTGTTGGTTATCGAGTTTCTCTTATGACAGATATGTTTGAGAGGCTAAGCTGCAGTCTTCAGATAGAATTCTAGGTCATGAAATTATCAGGCTCTCAAAAGACTTCAAGTATCGTGAAATTGTGTGTCTCAAGACTCTCAAGCCTGATATATATATTAGGCATGGTAATTTGTAACCCAGCCGTGAATGTGACTCATTATGTGAGCGAGTATGATAATTAAATCTGATAATCATAAATTTTGTATTGGGTGTGTCCTGACCGGTGACAGGAGGACGTGAGCAGCCACTTCCACCTGGACTGATGCTGCGGCATTGCCACGGGTTACAGAGCGACGCAACTCACCTGACTGACCCCAGCGAGTTAAGTGAGCGGGATCCATGGATTTTCTATCCAGACCGGCAAAGGTGGCTGTATGTAGGTGGAGAGCCATGGGTGCGATGGTGAGAGAGTGAAGGAGGTTGTAGAGTTTGATGTGTTTGGTTCTGACCAGGTAGTAGGATGTCCAAAGCTTCTTCAAGGTGGACGCAGTTGGTAGGAGAGTGAGGACGCAGTCACACGTGGGTATTTCGAATCATCTCTGCACGTAACAACAGGAAGATTACGCTAGGATTTTTTTTCCGATCTGATCTGTCCACGTAAGATCAGCCAGATTCATGCTAGAATGGTCATAACTGCCGTCAGATACATCCAGGAAGCTCCTAGCACAAGTTTGCTCGGAATCCTCCGATTTTGAGCCAGGGTCAGAGAAGCCATTGGGGGGTAGACATCTGATATCAAGCACCCTATAATTAGGCCTAAAGGGGGCACCCTCCACGTAATATCAGCCAGATTCATGGTGAAAACTGTCATAATTGCAGTCAGATGCATCCAGGAAGCTCCAAGCATAAGTTCGCTCGGAGTCCTCCGATTTTGAGCCCGGGTCAGAGAAGCCGTTGGCAGGTAGACATCTGATATCAAGCACCCTATAATCTGTCTCTTATACACATCTAGATGTGTATAAGAGACCATCTGATATCAAGCACCCTATAATTAGGCCTAAAGGGGTTAAAAGGGGGCACCTTAAGTACTAAGCGGAAAGGGGGACGTGACAGAAATTATCCCAAAGAGTGGGGGTGAGTCTGACAAGTGGGACTCACTGTGGGAGTTGGGCAAGAAGCATGGAGGATCGTGATGGGGAAACGAGCCTTCCTTTGAGACTTCAAAGGAAGTTTCTCAAGGTGGGGCAGGACATTTTGATGGGTACAGCAGATGGTGGGAATAATAGTCCCTTGTACATTGACTTACACCCTCATGAACCTTGGATTATCTTTATAGCTCAGCAAAGGTCAATCCAAGTCTGGAACTACGAAGAAGGGCGGCAAGTCACAGCTTGGGACATTGATGACGAAGTTATGGGCCCGTGCGAAGCGCCCAAGTTCGTAGTGCGGCAGGTTTGTCTGTTCGTTCTGGTGAGGAACGAGAAGTCCATTCTGATGTATCAAGTCCGAACGCACAATTTCGAGTGGCAGCAAATAAAGAAGCTGACCGCTCATCAGAGTCGAGTTGAGGACATGGTTGTTCATCCCAGCTTGTCGTATGTGATCACGTATTCCAAGAAGCAGATTAAGCTATGGAATTGGAGCGAGAGCTGGTCCATGAAAGCCATTAAATGCCAGTCCGGAGACTGGAGAGCCATAGCTTTTCACCCCCAGAGGCAGATGCTCTTTGCAGTTGCCTCATCGAACAGGAAAATAATGATATGGAATGACACCATAGGTGCGCCCCCCTCAAAGACACTTAGTGCGGAAAATGAGGTAACAACACTTCACTTCTGCAGCAAGCATGAGGGGCCACTACTGATAGCAGGTTCGCAGGTGGGAACGATTGACGTCTGGAACCATCAGGAGGGAAGTAGGTTAGCTACTCTTTCAGGGCTTAATGGCCCTGTTACCGCGCTCTTTGTTCATCGATGCTTCCCGTTTATTTTCGCCTCCTCGAACCACGGAATGATCGCAGCATGGAGGAAGGGATCTGATGACGAGTCGCAAGGTTATGTCATTGAGCAAGTGATGCGTTCGAGTTGTGGTGTTAAGGAAGTCTGTAGCATGGCTCCCTGTCCAGTTTCCAATGTGCTGGTTCTGGGAGGTAGGGCGGAGTTCTGTGTGGTGGAGTTTGTTTTTGAAGACGACGAATTCGAAGAAGATAATGCGCCGTGTACAACAAATTCAAGCGCAGCCGTATCAGGAACAACATGGGAGGTCACCGTGGAGGACGCCATAGACTCGGAGATGTTACTGCAACAGGCATTGGAGAAGGAAAGGTGTGCGCACGAGGAGTTGGGTGCACTATCCTTAGAGCTAAGGGCCAGGAGAAAAGCAGCGCAAGAGCAAGCGGAGAGGAGAAGAGATGAGGAGTCTATACAAAGTTTGATGAAGGCAAGGATATTAGAGATGGAAGCGAGATCTGAGCAAAACACTGTCAGCCTGGCAGAAGAAGAGACAAGAGTTGGCATGGACTGACCTAGATCAGTTGGCAGACCCCTCATCACTGTCATCAGACCCCTGAATTGTTGAAATACAGACACCTAGGATAGAATTCCATCATTTGTAACAGAAGTTGGCTGCAAACTCAAGCTTAGAACATACTAGGCCAAGAGCATCAAGAAGGCAAGGGCCCAAGGGGTGACCACGGTGAGGATCCAACAGCTATGTGTGACAAAGGCAAGGCTAGTGCAGATGGATGAGGATTCAGTAGAGGGCAGCAGAGGACAGAAATGTGGGCCGAACCAGTAGAGGCCAGCGACCAAGCAGCAAAGGACCGCAGCCTCCGCAGGTGCTTGGACAATTTTTTTTTTCTTCTTCAGAAAGCCCCTTGCGATGTCCCTCTATCCAGGTGGTGGTAAGAGAACCATCAGAATTGAGGGCTTACCTGTCGGGCTGCTCCATCTATTGGTGGGGAGCGGCACCTGCTGGAAACAGGGTCCAGTGTCCCATTGTTACATCGTGTAGCACTGAGATTGGTGTTTGTTGTTTCCTGGGGCTGTGATTATTATTGACTCATCCTGGGGCTCCATCTTCCCCTGGAGCTGCTAGTATCACCCTTCCCTTTTTAGGAGCACCCCTTATCTTTTAACCCAGCCCTTATTACAGCAGCCCCCCTGTTTGATTATTGCCATGTCTGTCCCTGTAAACCCTTTCTATCCTATTCCCCTTGACAGCTTGGCTGAACATTCGTGTCTCTGGGACCACGTCGTACCCCCCGAATCAACCTAGTACCCTGCTACCCCCAACCAGTGCAGTTCAGGTGGGCATGTGTTGCTGTTAACGGCCTGCCATTTGCTGCTGGAAGAGCATCTGCTTCCACGTGATTTGAGTCAGTCCTTGTCCTCCAGAATAACAGTTAAGAAAGGATACAGAGAAGGTAAGCATGGCCCATCAGAGCTTGCTGCTATCTGGCGTTCCAACCAGTTTTGTTTGGGTCTCTTCAGCTCTCGTATGTGTCACTGCACTTCTCTGATCTGCTCCTTGTCGTCCATCTGCTCCATATCTTCCAATGTTTGAGAGGTTGTGGCGTATAGGAGATTTGTCCCTGCTGCTGCTTGAACCCATCCTTGCCTGGTCAGGGCTTGTATTCTGTGTTTGCACAGGGGCAATCCTAAGGAGATAGGAGAGAGGTGGGGGAGGATGGCTCAGGTGCTGTTGGGAGTGGTGGGGGAGATGGGGATGTTTCAGGCGGGGGCTCTTCCGGCATTGAGGGTGTGTGGGTGGCATTGGTTGTTATATTGGTTGTGGACGATGGTAGTGGGGATGAGGGGGGGGGGGGGGGAAAGGGTGTTTGTGGTGGGCCCCCCTCCGGCAGAGGGGGTGAGCTGATGGTGATGGTCGTGAAGGGTGACCAGGAGTTTGTGGCGGAGATCCCTCCGGTGGCTGTGGGGGTGTCGACGGGGGAGCGGGGGTAAACGGGGGAGGGGTGTCCAGACAGTCCAGGAGCGGTGGATTTGGGTGTTGTGTTGTGTGGCGTGGGCTCCCCATCAGATCCAGTCGGACACATTGAGGTGAGGGGGCTACAAGAACTGGCTGTCCTGTTGATTGTCGGAGGAATGCAGACAGCGTTTTTCAGTGTCATCTGCCTTCCTCTATCCACCAAGGTTTCCACATGAGGTTCCGGTTGCCATCTAATGACGCAGTCTTCTGGTCAGGATCTAGCCACTCTTGTTCGAAGGTGTTGATGAGTTCAGCAATTTTGGATTGATCAGTTGCAGACGTCAGTTTTTCCTTTAGGCTTCTCCAGTTTTTTTGTATGTTGATTCTTTAAGTTATTGTTTCAACTACGTGTTGTATGGCTTGGATGTAGCCGAAGGAGTGTTATTTCCTTTCGTGGGAACAGCGGGCCCACTAAATTATCATTAATACTTCTAACCTTGTGCATTTAAAGAGGTTTGATTGGAAGAGTGACCATGCGGCCGTGGAAGCTGGGGGCTGGTCCAAAAGAAGTACAACCGGTTCCAAGGTAGGTCGATATGTGTGAGGTATTTCCATGCTGCCGCCCACCATCGCCAAATCTGGTTTTCCATTGGGCAATCCAACAGGCAGTGCCCGAGGTCTGCTATTTGTTTTTGGGATGAGATACCACAGTAGGAACATAGGGGCGACTTCTCAGGCAAGCCGTAGGGTGAAAGAAATGAATCATGATGGAAGAGAACTTCAAGGTGAAAACACGAACCAAGAGGCTGCCGATTCTGATCCTTGTTTAGAGCTTAGAGGATCCGAAGTGAAATGGAACTGCAAGCAGAGAGGATCAGATTCTGACAGCTGGAAGCTGGAAGCTGACAAAAGTGACAAGTGTGATGGAAGAGGTATAGGGGAGAGAGAGAAGTGTCAAACAACTGGAACACCAATTGGACATGGACAGTGATGGCCTCCAGCGTGAGTTGTGGCACAACCTGCTGGGCTGGGTCAGCCTGGGTGACGATTCACAAATGTTTGATACTGCTGAATTCCAAGCTTGTTTACTAGTGACCAAAGGGACTTCGCTTTGCAACGGACATGTCCGATTGTCCTCCCACGTCTGTCAGAGTGCCCTCCCTTGTCTGTCAGAGTGTCCTCCCACGAGGAGGTATTGCACTACCCTGGTGTCAACGGTGCCTCACGACCTTCCCATCACGAAAATGGAACGAGACCATCGGATACATTTTCATGCAGTGCCCGGTGGCTGTACTAACATGGCGCTAGCGGGACAGGCTGTGGCGCAAAATGATGTCGGACACACCTCGGTCGTGGTCTTGTCGAGCAATTTTGACTGGTCATTGCCCTGAAACTGGTTCAGTCATGGAAGAAGAACAGTCATCTGGGTCCTGTGGTGGCAGCATTGCCTTCTCACTCTGGAAAACGTTAGAGTGGCGGACGGGAAGTTCATAGAGCAAATCAAGGAACAGATCCAGCTGGAACTGCTACGTAGATGATATGATTTGAAAACTCGGATGGATATAGATGGAGCCTCCCCGAGAGTGCTAGCGGTGCCTGCTCCTATCAGCACCCCTAGCATCAGCTCGGGATGTTTCTCAAAAAAAAAAAAAAAAAAAAAAAAACGTTTCTAACGGACCGGGAGACAGCCGCTGTTCGGAAATCGTTTGATCACGGATCCCTTGGGCCGCGTAAGGTGCAGCTCAGATGCCCCTTGGAAGGGCTGGGTGAAACACGACGTTAGCAGAGTAGGGGACCTTTGGGACAAGGAGGCAAGGGGCTGGAAGAGTGCTGAAAGGATGTGGTCTTGGTTGCGATATTGCCATTTCACTGAATCAACACTTAATGAACTTATTGAGAGCTTCCCTCTCCAGTGGTACAGTACCCTTCGAAAAGGCCCTCACTTGAAGGAAGGAGACTGGGTACGGCTACCTGGCCCTGATAAGGAAGTAGGGCGGGTGCATATTACCAATCAAACACAAACCCTGATCGAGGTCTTCTCCGTCCAAAGGAATGGGGAGCTACAAGGAAGCCGGCAGCCTTTCATTTGCAAAGACAACACAAACATATTTCGTAACAGAGTTCTAGATGACGGTAGATGCTGGAGAGCGTACCGACCATCGACCCCGATTGAGGATCTTCCCTTTGACCCTGATGAGTGGCGCTGGTCCAGGAAGGTCGGATTAGGCAGGGGACAGCGAAACAACTAATGTTACATAATTTGAAAACCAAATCAGTCTACCGAATGCTCTGTCTTAAGCGAAGAATGCGGGAACTAGTAGAGGACAGATGGTATCGACACCTCAATGTGGACCGCAGCCTGCTCAAACCCATCCGATGGTTCACGCACTACAGGGACAGACCCGCAAAGACTGCTGCCCTCCAGTGACATCGATGCCTGCCAACTAACGACTGGCTGATAGAGCATACCCGCTTGGAACAGCAAGGACGGGCATTACCATGGTGCCACAGTTGCCTCCAGAGCTACCCTGGAAGAAAACGTGCGGAGACAATCGAGCACATCTTCCTCGAATGCCCAGCATCGGTACTATTATGGAGGAGTTGGGACAGGATCTGGCGACACATTGTCCCTAATGCAGAATGGCCATGGGAATGGAGGGCCATATTACTAGGCCACTACCCCCAGATCCGGGGAACCACATTCGAAGAGAACATGTTCCATTTGGGCAGGCGGACTGTTCTTTGGACTATCTGGTGGAAGAGATGCATATTAGAAGTAGAAGGGGCACGGGTGGAGGAAGGAGAAGTCATGGAACATTTACGTTTGTTATTCCAACACGAAATTGCAGCTCAGTGGAAGGCAGCTAGGGATAAGCTTGACCAATTGCACTCCCAGGGAGACATCACTCGGACTATCTCCCAATTCGGTCAAGACTGGCTGGGAGGGGAGAGAGAAGGGTGGGTGGCTGAGATAAGATGGTCTGGGGATCGCCAGCTGGAAGGACAACCGCCTGAAGGACATCAGGCAGAGACAGCAAGAGACTATCAGCTGATCTTCCACGACTGGACCAACATAGATCCTGGTGAGAGGCTGCGCCCCGCTCAAGAGTTTGCAGACCCCTTCCCCCCTCACCCCTTGGCCTTAGAAGAAAATTTTCCCCCTCCACGAGGAGACACATAGTGTAGGTATGGGGCGCTGGACCCGGATTCCAGCAGGTTTTGGATTGGACACAGATCAGGTATGGGACGCTGAACCCGGTTTCCAGCAGGTTTTTGGATTGGACACATAGATCAGGTATGGGACGCTGGGCCCGGTTTCCAGCATTGTACCTTCACTCTCACTGAGGACTGTGCAGCACATTTCTGTCTATTTCTGCATTGCCTGTTCTCTGAGGAAAAAAGCTTCAAAAACAACGAATAAGAAGATTTCAGCTGAAAAACAGATACAATAGGCGCCTTGTGGGCCCGCTTCTCAGTGAAGTTTTTTTGCAGTATCCTTTGAGTTTTTTCTGTTTTTTCTGTATTTCGCACAAAGACTTGTTGCATATTATTGCAGGGTGCAAGACACAATAGGCGCCATGAGGATAGTAGGTGGATGGCAGAGGCTAGGGGATGGAGGGAGATTCCACTGGTGGCCCCCGGTGGTCCCCCCCAAATACCCGACCCTACTGCAGGTTAGGTACGGAAGAGCAGATTGGATATGGGACGCTGGACCCGGTTTCCAGCACATTGGCGTCACCCTC